TCTGGTGTTAGGGCCAGAGGAACCTCGGGCTAAAGATGAACATAACACACACACAAACAGGTAATAGATACAGCAAAATATAAACAGCACTACATCATCAGCTGTTTCGTCCTTCTAGGACTCATCATTAATGCTAAGGGCTAAAAACTGGAAATTAAAACTGGTTTAAACTACTGCTGAAACAGTAGGGGAGGTACAAAATATCACTTAGATTATGAATTTCACCATTTAGATGAGTTTAGAGGAGAACTGATCAATATGATATTAATTAGTAAAATGTGTATGTTATGAACCACGCCACTACATGAATCAAATCACTGTGGTTGTCAACGTTATTGCTGGCCTCGGGGACTATACAATCCACCAGTATAGCCTAACACATGTATCATGAAAGATAAACTTGCAACACACAGATGAAATACTTTTGATAGAAAAAAATACAATGATAATCATGTTATCTTTCTGGGTGGTTTCTGTCGATTCATGAAACATTTGACAAAAAAAACCTCTCCAAAATAGCCATGTTTTGCGGGAAAAATGCACGTTTTCTGCAGTTACAACTTACCTGCATCATGGAGAAACATGTCTTGCAATTCTTTCTTTTCTTGCTGTAGTAGAACCAAACCGCACCAGAAGTTAACAACACAGTACAGATCACTCCAGTTACTATCAAAAGGTACACTATACTAGATAAAATACAGCCGTCACGGATATAATTCACGAAGGTACCAGTGGGGCACGAGTTCACACATTGTTTATCATAGACAAAGAAACCTTTATCCTTGAGACAAAAACTCTCTCTTATACAAGTTCTTCCCATTATTATGTAACCGTCTGAACACTTATTCACGCACTTGAAGAGTTCCTCTAAGTACGGATGGGAGATAGTACATGAAGACACACATGTTCGAGAATCAGCAAGATATTTCATTGGACAATCAATGGCCATGCACTTGGTCCCATTCGCGTATGTCTTGCTGGGGCATTCTTCGTAACATTTTCTATCAGCATGACCGTCTGATGAATTGTGCTCTCCTCGTGTAAACTTTTGATCGCTTGGACACGTCTCAACGCATAATTGCCCAACAGAAAATGACGGACATGACGTCACACACTGGATGTTATCAACGAACTGGTTGTCTAGGCAACGCTTCCGGCATATAGTACCATGGGGTGAATACTCGATAAATTGGTATTCATTAGCACAATTTGTAACATCCACACATACTTTGTTTATTATAACTTTACCATGTGAACATTTTAATACACAAGTATCATTTTCCTGTATGTAGGTTTCAGGGCATGTTTTTGAACAGGTCATACCGTTCCCAAACGGTGTCCTTAAACTTGAATCGTTTGGACAACTCTTTAAACAAGTTTGATTCACAGCGAACGGTTTAGAGTCTGGACATGTGAAATGACACTTATCATTATCGACTAAACGCGGTGCAGAACAGTTAGCAACACAAGTAAAAGCCAATTGCTTGGAATTTGTTGTAGTAACAGAACGCCATTTATGAGAGTCTGGGCAGCGCTCTAAACACGTGTTATTATCCGGGAACCCTACCAATGGCGGATCGCAATGATCAAAACAGAAATCCTCTTTCATAAATGTATTTTCAGCACATTCTGCAACACATTCCATTGCCAGGACTGATCGATGCTTGTCACTTCGGTATTTAAGCTTATGAGACAAAGGGCATTTTCGCAGACATGTCGAATTGATGAAAACAGTGTTATCGGGACATTGATAAAAACATTGATTATTCCACGTGAATTCTCCTTCTGGGCAAATCGCAGTTGTTTGACATACAACGTTACCAGACTGAGTTCGACGGAAAGATGGATGCGAATTCGGGCACACGCTAATACATTGTCCATTGTATGAATACCTGGCAATGCTAGGACACGAGCTTTGACAACTTCCGTTGTATACCACCATTGGCGATGGACAACGAGACAAACACGTCTGATTAACTTTGTAGATATGTGTCACCGGGCAATCGTCTACGCATGTCCTATTGAATATAAGACGACCAATAGGACATGATTTAACACAATGGTCTATATTTAGAATTTGCTTACGGTTACAGCTCTGAACGCATGTAAAAGGTGGAGATTTTCCAGTAAAATATGGATGAGTTTCCGGACAGCTAGCTTCACAAGTGGAGTTCATTAGATACCTGGCGGGTGAACATGTTGGTACACAGTGATTTGCTTCGATATAATAGTGATCAGGACACACAGGTGTACATATTGGTATCACGTACGGTGGGAGGCGGCGAGTTAATACATATACATACGGAGCTATCACAGGGCATTCCCTGACACACGAGCCGTTCCATAGATAGTCCTGTCCATTAGGACATTGAATTTCACACTTGCTGCCATTGGTGGATGTAAACTCGGGACAGGAAGTGACGCAGAGACTAATATTCCAAACTCCGAGAGATTTCGGGGCTTCAGGTGGACAGACATCGACGCACGTAGAAAGATACTGGTGCGTGTGTTGGGGACATGTTCTGAAACAGGTCTGGCCGTGGAGGAAATATCTGGTAGAACAAGCTGACACACAATGTCCATATTCGTTATATGGGCTGTCCGCGGGACAGCTCGACACACAAGAGTCATTCAGGACAAGCGGAGATGTGTCTGAACAATCATGCATGCAATTGCCTTCATCAGGGAGAGTTCCATTCGGACAAACGGACAAACACTGTGTGTCGTAACATAACGGCTTATCACTAGGGCATGTAACCACCTGACAGTGGTTCGATGACTTATCATCAATAAGTCCTGTTGCATTACTACACGTATCGGGAGAATTGTATTGGTACCCATATGGGCAAAACGCAAGGCATAGCTGTTGGAACTGTAGTGGTGCAGCCCGCGGACATGATACAGTGCAATTGGACGAGAACTCTATCTGGTTATACACCCCTGGACATTCTGAGCTCCCTTCGTCGCTTAGTGTTAGATCACGCCACAAAGCATTACTCTAAAATGATACCAAAAATAAACACGATTAATATAATAAAATAATATTTAATGTTGTGGTATTTACTATATTCAAAAGAAAATATGCACACAAAGTTGAAAAGGGTAGAAGCAGATGTCGTAGGGTATTAGCTTGATATCGGACTGTTGGAATCGCAATTATAATTGTGACTATTTTCAGTCGTGTGTTTCCTATACTAAAACGTGACCCCTATTTCATATATACCCCTGCCCTCTATCGTTATAGAAATATTTTATAAAAAGGGACAGAATTGCTTTAAGGATATCAATCAAATGGTATAGGAAAATCATAGTATAGGTGTATAGCGCTTATAAGGAGCCAATTTAACGGCTGTAAATACAAATTTAAAGGGGGAGATGAAAATAATAGAAACAAACATATCGTTACGTCAAAAAAAACATTACGTCATAGTCATAGCAAAGTCATTGCAAGACGGCGTCGTTCTTTCAATACGTGATTATTTTATCGGCTTATGTTAAAAACCCTTCTGCTCGTACCAATTGTACCGATTTGGTACGGTATCAAATAATGTAACGAAATTGAATCGCCAGCAGTTTCCAAGATGGTTGCCGTCACTACTAAAATGCGCTTCAATTCTTTTTTTAGTTTTCACGCCGCGCGCCGATTTATAAATAGAAACAGACAGAACATGTTAATTCATAAGGCATGTTTACCTGTTAAAACTTGGTGACAGTAACAAAATTTGAAGTTCGACTCGATGTTTCAGGATGGACCGGGAATTTAGACTATATATCGATATAACAACCATGTCAGTAACGTTAACGTATCAGTGTTCTGTTCTCCCCATGTTGTTTTTAAACAAACATGTTTAACATCTTTATCGATATATCGTCAAACATATATATGATGTCCTTTATTCATTCAACAGCAATTATTAAACAGATTTTTCTCCAAATTATATCTGTCATTCTTTGGCATAGTTTTTAATCAAATGTATTGGTAATTGATTTGGATGGACATACCAAGAAATTGATTCGTTCTGTTCTACTTAAAAGAAAGTAAAAAGTAAGTAAAGATAGACAACTCTAAAAAAAAAAATTATATATATTGACCTCTGCAAAGATTTTTATGGTGAATTTTGGGCCTTATGATGGCCCTTCTCAAGAACAATTATGCATTTTTTTGCCCAAAATTCGAATCAAATCTCCCTTTATTTCTATAAAAGCATGTCTTTTGTTAGTTACATTTTCCGAAAGTCATAAGGCGCAGGCCCCTATTGAAACCAGGTAGAACAAAATCTCTGTCATATTTCCTCAGGACCCAGGTGTGGATTAACATTTCCTCTTGGGTTTTCGTATACGCATGTATGCATAATAATGTCGGACTACTTACTGTAGCTCTAGTCTACTGTATATATACATGTATGTATTTATAGATATGGCTGAATTGGACATCAGCTATATAAATATTGTATTATTATAGTCATATGTATCAAGCTTGTGCTGTAATTAATTATCAATAATGCGTAACGGTTACGTTCACATCTCTGAAACACAGACGTAAGCATGAACAGAAGATTTTTTAGTGGGGCAACACCACTATGAAACATAGACAGGACTACATATTGTTATTGCCGGTAAACCAGGCACAGTGTTAACTCACTATGTAACACAGACAGCAATCGACATATGTGTTGCATCGACAACAAAAACAGAACAGGGGATACAATTTATCAACCAACACACGCGTACGTAATGTGTGTGTCAACACGAACCATTCAAATTTACATATATTCAGACATCGCGTTATCAGTACATATTTGTACCGGTGTGTTGTCTGCATTGTGTCTGTACGTTTACAACATGTACATGTGTGTATACGGCACATGTATACGTACCTGATATAGGGATAGGGCTGATACGACCATTCTTATCACGTGATTTAGAATAACCATGGTCCAAGATACCTGTCCGTCCTGTCCTCAGATATCATAAACATGAACGTGACCTACTTCTTGGTCTTAACACTGTGATTTCAGCCGTGACGCTTAGTGAAACGCCAGACGCGGTATGGTAAAATTAGCGGGAATTCCAACCTATAGCAAAAATCAATACCACATCCTGTTGACAGGACGGGGCGGACCTAAAGACTTTACTGTATAAAGCACGGGATTATATAGGTCAGCGGGTATAATAAACGGTCCTGTACTATCGTGTTTAGCTGCCTTTATCCTCGTCAATATCAATGTGCAGAAAAAATCCTTAAGGATGATCCTTACATATTTCATATTTCAATAAACATTATTATCTAGAAAAAATGTTGATTTTGTTATAAATAGTTTATTATATATTCCTTTCCAACATGTATTATCTCACCGAGTGCTACATCTGGGATACATGTAGCATTCCTAAATCCGAAGCTAAACATTTATAAGATGGTTGGAATTAATTAAAGCTAACGATTAATGGGACTCACAATATTTCCATGTAAACAGTCATGAACTTTGCCCTTTTTCGACCATTTAAAATATTCACTTTCCAGAGGAAATTGCACTTCGTTCATGTGTTTTATAGATTGAGAGATACGCGCTGTCACTCATATTCAGATGTATCATTACATATGAAATTATGAGAAATCGTGGCCAATATCCTGTAAAGTACATTGTAAACCCACTGTTTATGCTGAATATTGACTTCGCCCTCACACTGCTCGTCATCATTCTAGCCTGGCGCGTAGCTTGACTGTAAACTATGTGCATGGAAAGTTTACGATCTAATTATATAAAGGGGGTGCCTACCCTCTCCCACCCCCCTCAATACATTTGAGCTCTTTTTTCAGAATTTCTGACACAAAAAGGAGTGGAATCGCTACTGATATGACAGAAAATGAGTTAGATATCGTCGAAAAATAAAATGGAAATATTTAGAGTATGCTCCCTGAATAACTTGTAAGTTGAACAAAATCACTCAAAATCATAAAATTCCTAAACATGCCTATTCCGACAAAGAAGTGTAAAGTCATCAAATTCAAGTATAAAAATTGGCGTTTCTTTTTACGTTTAAAGAAATTAGAAATGATCTTTGATGATGATGCAGACGTAACGTTGTCATACACTGTATTTGAATCCAGGGGATCAACAAGTGTCTATTGTATAATTAATATTTTTCTCGAACAGTACAAACATTTATATCACTATTTTGGACCACACGCAAAAAATACAAATCAAATACATGTAGTACATTTGATTTGATCAAATACCATGGTGAATACATGCTTTTATCCTCAAGTGAATGACGCTTCAAATTCCTCAGCAACACAAAACATCCAAACAGCGAGTTGTCCGTTTTCACCTTGTACATTGACGAGTGTGTACATGTAAAGTACCATATTTTATAAACTAAAAGGAAAATTTATATCAAACT